CAAACACAGCACACATCCATGCCTCGAGTTGCTAGAGTCTTTGCCAACGAAGCCTGTTGGCCAATTTGACGGAGGGTGCGGACATTGAAGGCTCCAATATGTAATTTGGAGCGTGGTTTAAGGAGACCAGGGACACTGTTCTGTGGACTCAGATCGTTGTCGAAGGCTGCAGAGGTAGGAGAAATTGAAGATGATGCAGCATCATTAATTAAGAGACGTGAAGGAAGATTAGAAGGTAATGATGGAGGAGGAGGATAGCAGTCAGAAGAAACTTGGGTGCTGACAGAGTTGTGAGGGCGGTTGACACTTCCCGGCTGCCCACACCGTGGAAGGCTATTTCTTCTTAAGGTACCTGAAAGAGATTTGTGTGACCGCAGAGCCCATCGGACATCTGCTTGAGGCCTGTCACACCCAGCCTTTTGAGTATGATTATTTTGAATTTTTGTATTTTTGGGGCCGGATGAGCGAAAGGAAACGACAAGTGAACCAACACCGCCGGCCCGGCAGACCGTGGGGCGTGGTGGAGTGTGTTATTTTTGGGGCCGACCTTTTCTAACCCCCCCTTCCACTGAGAAGGCAGCATCAGCTTGGCACTGCTGGTCATCCAAGGGAAACACCTTACTGCTGTCACACCCCATCCAGCTAGCAGCAGTACGACTTCGCCCTCAGACCCCCATCATAGTATAGCAATTTACACTATGACGGTAACTGCTTTTCGTCTAACCACTACCCAACAGACCTTTCTGGTATGGTAGGACCTCGAGGGAACAAGCGTTCCACCAGCATAGCTCGTTGGGTCATTGTGATATGCAAGCCCGACCACCACGTCAAGGTAGCAGCTATCGGTCGGGAAACCATATGAGTTCGTGATTTCGTGGCAAACATTAAGTTACATTTTCAAATGTGTCCTAGGTATACACATGAATACCCAAGTAACACTGATTTTAACGGAGCACCTTAATGGGAGTTGGAACTATCAAGGCAAGCAAAGTAATCAGTTTCTCACCAACACTATCCTTAAAATTATAGCAGGCAGTGTATTCCTACAAGGATTTAAATATATAGAATAAAACATTATGTATTGTGTATCAGTAAATATTCAGTGAAAAGTTTACAAACAATGGTCAGCTTTCATTTTGGTAAAATATTATTAAAATGTTCCAATTAGTAAAATGATCCAGAGCAGTAATTCTGTTCGAATTATTACCGAAATAAGAACTTATCCTGTTCAAACTTTTCATTGGTACATTTAAGATTCAGATTTTTCTGGAAGCCTCATTTACAGTTACAAATTCTTGGTTGCATTGTGTTCTCTGAGATGGGTTGCTTAATCATGAAGCTTTCATCGTCTTCCTGGACGACATCATCAGCACTAACTTCAGTATGAAGTAAGCCATCAGTATCTCTCAGTCAGTGATTTAGTGGCTCGCCCTGACCAACTGCTTTGCCATTGATTGTTTCCTTCGATTGTTGTGTCATTAACTGTGCAGATTTTCCTGTTGGCTGTTCCTCTGCTTCACTTATGACCTTTCTGTCGTTTACCATTTCTCTTATTGATTGATAGATTGGGTCTATATCTATACATCCCCTAATTGCTGACTGAACTGAATGTCAAGCTTCTAAGAATTCTCTAACATTCTTTGTGTTTCCTCTCAACATCCAAATCTTCTACATCCTCGAAATTCAATTCATCTCCATATTTATCCACATGCATTGAAATGAGTGGTGAAGTGTCATGTGTGACGTTTAATAGCCAATTGGTGCTCATGTAGACGAAGGTGAAGAGGGCGACCACTTTATCGAATGTAGTGTTGACTACAGTTATTGCAGTTGATTTTGTAGATGATATTCAGTTTGTCTTCTTTGGTTGTTGCATCCTTTGGTCAGCATAAAAGTGTTTGCAGGGAATTTGTTGATTTATGAGTGGCCACACCAATTTCCAAGTGGTCTCAGTAATCTTGTCGTGATTTCTGATATATTCTTTATGAATGGTAGGACGATGCGCTTGTTGATTTCTGTCGATGACTTTGTAGTTGATGATGTACAGGATAGGCATCTTGTGATAAAGTTTCATGGGTAGCCATTCTTCTTTAGGATGGACATCAAGTAATTTTCTTCGTTTCTCCGTGAAGTTGTGCTGCAGTGTGTTCTCACTCTTTTGAATAGAGTCTGCAGGCAACTGATTTTGTGTGTCATTGGGTTGTTGCTATTGTAGTTGAGGATTTGATCAGCATGTGTTGGCTTCCTGTACACTTGGGTTTCCAACTTTCCGGCATTTGTCCTACTGACTAGGACATCCAGGAATGGTAGTTGGCTGTTTGACTCCTTCTCCATTGTGAATTTGATGTCATTGAAAACGTTGTTGATGAAATGGTAGGTGTTTTCTCGATCATTTTTTTTAATGATGACAAAAGTGTCTTCCACATAGAGAATCAAAAATTTGGTTTGGTCACAGATAGAATGATGTCTTCCAGTCTCCGCATCACTGCTTCTGCAATTAATCCGGATATCGGTGATCCCAATGGAGTTCCTTCCACCTGTTTGTACATCTTGCCGTTGAATTGGAAGTATCTTGTCAGACAAAGGTCGATGAGTTCCATTAGACTTGAACATTTAAGTTTTGTGCATTCTGAAAGGTTTTTGTCTTCATTGAGTGGGAGGGATATCGTTTCCTTGGCCAATTGGGTCCGATGGATGTGTATAGTGATTTGTGACATCGAAGGATATAATTAACTCGTCGTTTTCTATGTTAATGCTTTTGATCTTTTCTAGCAATTCGGTTGGTGACTTGATGGAAGGTCCGCATGATTGGAAGAGGTGCTTCAGTCTTCTCGAAAGTTCTCTTGACATGTTGTATGTTGGAGTTCCCGAAAGTGAGACTATTGGTCGTAGAGGGATATCGTTACAAATTACATTCACTGCATTTTAAAACAGGCTCGCTGAAATATAACAACCTTGTCACTATAGAATTAAAACCTCTACAAATTTTAAATTAATTTTGGATTTAGTCTTAACTCGAATGCTGATTACTTTCTTAAAAGTGATTGTATGTGACAAGTGATCATGATTTTTTAAGCCAATCTGAATACAGATAGCTTATTTGGGCTCAACTAATCAGATTCCTACAAATAATTGTTCTAGTCCAATAGAAATGTATCTCGGCTACACAAATACATAGTCTTTTAAACACAGGAATCAGCCAATCATTTTCCATTTTTAATTTCTTTTCTCCACCCTAAATGAGTTAGGGAGGAGAAGTAGGCCAGATAATTAACGTCAGTCGACGTTTAGGATTAGCAAGCGTCGGTCAGTGACCCTAGCATCGAAGCTAAATGGATGTGATCAGTTTGAATCAATTTGTTTCTCTAATTAATTTCAAATCAACAAGAAGAACACGTAAATTGTCTGAATAACGAGCTGAGTAACATTACAAATATTAATGAATGAATGAATTGTAAGTTGAAGTACATATGGAAAGAAGCAGTAATCGATAATATTATAGGAAATGAATGGAAATGAGGACATTCAGAAACACAAAGCTCCTGCTTTTTTTCTAAACTGTACACAGTACACGATTGTGGCTACTATTGGCTATAGCTGACCACACGTACATTTAAACGAATAAATACTACAAAGGGACATGATCTTATTGGGATCTGCCATTCCATATTTAGGTAAATTCCTATGTTCCACTAATCTACCTGAACCCGACCTGCAAGTCTAACCTATGTACTTGACGTCACCGTCGCTGCTTGGGATTTAGTAGGTTAAATTATTTTCCTTAATTAGTTCGATGGGACCTTTAAGCAGACAAAGCTTATCTCTGAATCGACTTGTAGGTTTAAATGCCACCCTAATTCCATGCTTGTTAGGAATCCTGCGTAAATTTTCTGATGTTTTTTCTTTATAGGGTAACACAATGGTAGCTTTGAACTCTTTTCTACTTGTGTGTCATATAATTAGCATTCGTATTACTACCATTATTCCCTTTCTTATGTGTTTGTACGAATTTCCTAATAAACGGTAGAGGATAATTATTAACGCTGCTTTTATATGTCTCAATTCTTTCTTGCTCTACTATATAAACATTTGACTAAAACCGCCTAAACTGAGATTGGATGAGATAACCTGAAGTCTAGATATCTGTCGGTTTCCTGTAGACGATAGTATTCAACCCACAGTTTGTTCTTCGTTTTGCTCTGCAATCCAACATAGCTGATTCTTCTTGTTCACTTTCCATCTCGTAAGTGAAGTGGATTACACTCACTAATTAGTTTATATGTATAGGAAATTCGTCGATATGTTCCGATCGCAACATATCGATAAATTACGTGACCATACACACACTGACTCATCAGAATGAAACAACTAGTTTCATCCACAGAAAATACGATCATGCACAGTAACTCATTTTATTAAACGGGAAATCCCTTTCGAACTATGAGTGATGCTGAAGTGGATAAGCAATCGATCAACAAGCTCTTCAGCTTACTCATACAATAATGCTACCAAATAAGTCATGAGTGAAACAAATACCACTGAAAAATAATACGACTGGTCAGACAAAACTTCCAAGCTTATTTGAGATTCACTTCTGCCATTTCTCCGTCCATATACTACTCAACGCGACATTTTTACGTACAACAAACAAACTCATGAAGACTCGTATTCGATGCGTGCACACTGAATTACTTGCTTACATGGACAGGTAGTGAATATGTTTCATGCTAAACCTTCATTATACGCACATAAAGACACATGAGAGTGAAGCAAGTAAGTATTAGGTACTGAACTCTATTGAATTCAGGTAATTATTTGACAACAGGGATTAAATACTTCGACTGTTTTGAAACACTTTTGCAGTAAATCGCAGTAATGCTAACAGGTATCCACGGTAACCTAAACATACCACAGATGAAATAATAATTAATCATTTTATCTTACGTACCTACTCTCTGTGACTATTCACATATGCATACATGGAGTCACGTGGTACTTACCGATGTCAAGTGTTTTCTTGGCATTTATTGCATAGCATATATTGGATAAAAGTTGCATTTCCAGGCTTGAGACAAGCATCGGTGCTCTAGGTTCATGCATAGTTTTCTAAACAACACATTGGATAGCAATAAATAAATATAAGTGAAAATTAAACAAGCATACCTTTAACAGCCAATCCTGGGCTTTCGATAAACGTAAAGATTGGTTACTTATGTAGCGATCAATTTCCTGATTACTCTTTGTACAACCGAGTTCAGTGATTCTCTTCATTCCTTTGATATCTGATATTTCAATCATTCACTGACTGCTTGATTAAAACGTCCACCCTTTTGTTGGAAAGTAAAAGCTTTTGAAAACTAAAACAACAAGACGAAACAAAAAAACAAGCCTTTATTGTCATGTTTATTGTGCCCTTTTCTGCTACTGTTTTTCATTGGTTGGTGCAATCAATTACACAACCACAATCTTATGTAAAACCTTTTGTAGCTATAAATGTTGTCCACCATCTAGCAAATTGCAAGACGCTTATGATGATAGCAACAGTTACACTTCTGTCGTTTTCTTTCGTTTGAACTGATAATCCATTGGATATAACCGTTTGAGAGTGAACATCAGCTAAGTGATGGTATTTGTGGGAATCGTCAGCATCACCTCCAGGAAACATTGGGCTGACAGTTTCAGACTACATCAAAGTTAGTCATGTTGTTAGTGATATGATAAAATATTCAACTCGATCAACTGACTGACTGACTAACAAAAACAACGTTAAACCACGCACATAAGTGCATCCGTTCAGATTGCTACACTTCACAATAGTACACAAAGAACGAATGGGTAAAAAAGAGTGGAATCAGAGCATATAAAGTAGTATGAGAGAATAAACAATCTAAAGATTAACGTTAGTGCGAATATTCAGGCTTTAGATGTCAAAGAGTGAATACATCTGCGGCATTGTAACCGGTTCCCAGCTATGTCAACAAGTGTTTTCAATTACTGATTCCTTTAGTCAAGGACCCCAACCAGACAGTCTACGTCTCCCCATACAACTCAGACCACCAGCAAAAGACTTCATCGACTGATACCAGGTCTTGGTCTGGTCAAGAGTTTGGTATAAACTGGAAAACGTGAGCTTAAGTAACTACGCTTCAAGGATAGTAGACTAAATATGACATCGAGTAAAAGGGAACTTATCACACGAGCAAAAGAAAAAAGAATGTGGAAATAGCGCGGAAGAATGTGACAGCAACAGAATAGGATGCTCACATGTGGATGCTGCCAAACTAGTGAGCATTTTGAGAACCTTCATCGACTGAGGCGGGTGAGACATGTGTTTCACACGCCTGGTTACCGTTTGCCCCGTTGCACAACGTTACCTGGAGTAGGTTCGGTTCAGGGTGGAAAATGGTGAGAAGCGGTCACACTAAACCACGGCATCACTTTGTGAAGTTTTTGATCGTCGGTCTGATCTGATCACGGAAGTGCAGACCTCCAGTTTAGTATGCTTCCTAGATGCATCACATAATGAAACATGATTACTTACTGGATAGCATTTCCGACGTAAAATCCTGCCCATATTCATATCACGTAAATCCACAACTTTGAGACATTGCTTATATGGTTCTAATTCTCTCTACTCCTTCGGGATTAGGGCAATAGGATTTTCAATACATCTGGAACAGGTACTAATCATTCATACTGCATAAATTTGGTGTTAATTCGATCGAAAAGCTGCTTTCACTCAACACTGTGCTCGTAGCCTGCAGGAGTGCATTTACGTGCATCGACAAACTGAGGAAAAGGTATTTACATCCGCTGACCCCTTTTAACATTTTTCTGAGGGTCAGTTACATTACTCAATTTTGTTTACATAGAAGACTGGAGATTGAACCAAGATAGCTGACACTGTCACTTCTTAACAACGATTTAGATATTTCTTTGGTTCAAGCAGCCTAAGTAATCTCATCATTTAGCTGGTCTCACAATCGCTGTTGCTATAGTTCTTCCACGTCCATTCAGGCCCACCCATGCACACTTGAACTAACGCATGACCACCGTTCAAACACATGCTCAACAAGAAGCGTCAACCTCGCAACATTCCAACTAACAGCCATCCCATTTGTGTATCCAAACTGCTCGCTAATGTAACAATATCTGCCATTTGATTTTCAGTGGGAGTGTGGACGGTTTTTTGTGAAATTCATCTCACACAGCCAAACTGCAACTAGTGGTTACGTAAGCAGATGTTACGAATAAGAGAATAATAATGATCACGGGTTTATTCTGAAAGATATTTCAGGAATACTCTACAGAACCTTCACCATGTCATATAGCATGAATTGGACAGAAACATCATATATGTACACATAACAAAATGAAATAAGTATGAATTATATACAAAAGAAAAGAATATTTACTCTATCTACAACTTTCTTGAAAATGCAGAGTTAACTTAGGTAAGGAACCACATTAGCAACAATTAGATCTATTATACATCAATAACACCCAGCCGCGTAATCTTCATTTAATTTGCCTTAATAAAAAAAAGTTGATTAGTTAGTTTACTTCTAATACTTTTCTCATCGCACAGGAGACGAGCTAAAAACGGTATTGTAGAGTTTTTTAGATTTCGCAGTACGTGCATAAAGTCCTATATACTTGCTCTCGGTCTTGCTTTAGGACCGACAAGCATAGAGCTTTGAGTGAAGAGGATTCTGACCATCTGATAAAATAACTCCCAACAGATCTTTACATAAGCTAATATGTTTGTTCACAACAGTTTTATTTAGGTTTAGAGTTACAGCACTGGTTCTGCCGATAGTCTTCAAAGTGCTGCGCAATACAGAAGGAATAAAGGGGAATAATTGAAAACATACAAGATGGAGGAGCTCATAAAATACAAGAGTAGAGACTGTTATACCAGATACTCTCAGCTTCCTAGCATAGAAAGTTAGGCGCAAAATTCTTTTGGAAATTAGTAAGATATGGGAGGACCAGGAAAGGTGAGAAGAAAAACACCGAGATAAATCACACTTGTGACGTTCTCTAATGCACAACTATCAATAGAACAGGAATCATGAGGTTATGTTCACTTCTGAAAGTAAAGTTTATAGTTTGATATTTTGAAGAATTAGGCACAAGACCATTCACGGAGGATCATCATCTGACAGTAGATGGGAAATCATTTAGCTGAGAATAATTTCTTAAAAAGGACATATGTATGGAAACTGTGAGATCATCTGCATATTTGATAGAATCAACACAAGCTGAAGATGATATGTTATACAGAAATAAAGAGAAGAGAGTGGAAGGATGGCTTGTTAGAGCACACTAGTCACTACAGGCAGTAACGTGGAGCGCTTCTTTCTGGGAACATTATGTTGCTTTCTTTGAGAGAAATAGGAATGCAGCCAGTTGATTATGCAGAATACAGTGAGTCCCGTCTAGCTCTTCCAGCAAAAGAGGTCTTCGGAACAGAATCAAATGCTTTAAGTATGGTCTGAAATGGCATACCTGACACACATGACATTTCTATCAAGATTATAAGCAATGCTGTGATATAAGGCAATGGTGGCATCCAAAGCGATTCTTTTGCTTTCACATGCAAACTGGTCACGGTTTCCGAAAACCTTTATTGAGGGTTCGAACGCAGGTATTAGCTTCTCTATATTTTTTCCAAGAACGGAGAAGTAACTGAAATCCAACCGAATCTCGGACATGCGTCTGGATTACCTGACTTAGGTACGAGGACTATCTTAATATCTTGCCTGGCAGCTGGTATGGTGTTTTCTGAAGACGATCCACGAAACACGTTAGCTAATGGATGGCATTAAATATCAAAACACTTCGTAAACACGAAGCTTGACATGCCATCCAGGACCTAAGCTGTGTGAGGGGTTTAGAGATTTGAGACATTTGAAAACATATTTCTCAGCGAATTTCGGACAACATTCTTCATTGGAAATGGGTGAACGAAGTGGGATGGGACAGTTGGGTCGGCGTATAAGTGATTCGTTCAAAGCACGGAAGTCCACACCTACTTCTTCACTAAGGTATTCATTATCAATCAGGTCTTTAGAAATTTTCCGCATGCTGGAAGAACCTTTGTATGACAAACGTTCTTGGCTATATAGTAGACCCAAACGTTGGTAAAAGGAAGATGTGGCAAATCAAATAGTCCCTATGTGGGCATGTTGGAGCCTATGGTGAGTTGTCCAGGGAGCTATACTCATCAAGTGGTGTCCGTCAAGGATGCCCACTATCCCCATTCTTATTTAATTTTATCATAGATATTCTTATGGAGGTTTCTCTCTCATCACCTAATTACACAGACGTTGACCCGATCACAGGTGAATTTTCTTTAGATCTAGAATATGCAGATGACATAGTCCTGTTAGGTGAAGACGCTGACAAGATGCAGTCTTTTGAACACTTTGAGTGGGAATTTGAGAATGTTTGGGATGCAATTTTCACCACCCAAATGCAAATTTTTGCTCCAGGACTGGTCTTCAGCGGTACCACGGCTAACAATAGAGAGTGAAGTGGTTGAGTGTGTTGACCACTTCACTTACCTGGGAAGTAGGATCAACCCCGGTGGGTTAGTTGCCGATGAGATTTCGGCACGGATACTAAAGGCTCGATTGCCTTTGGCCAATTTGCGCCACCTATGGCGCCGCCGTGATATTCGTTTGTCTATTAAGGGTCGCGTGTACTGCACAGCAGTCCACTCCGTTCTACTGTATGGCTGTGAAACATGGCCATTGAAAGTGGAGGATATAAAAAGGCTTCAGGTGTTTGACCACCGTTTCCTTCGTAGTATAGGACGTATTCGTGGTGTCACCATGTGAGTAATGCAGAAGTTAGGTGTAGAGTTTTAGGGAGAAGAGGTAAGTCAGTTGACGAGGTTGTGAACCTTCATCGACTGAGATGGTTGGGACACGTACTACGTATGCCTAGTTGTCGATTGCCTCGTCACACAATGTTGGCTGAGGTGGGTTCAGGCTGGAAAAAGGCCCGAGGTGGCCAGACTAAAACATGGCACCAATGTATGAAGTCTCTGACTGTTGGTTTAAGCCATGTAGGACGATGCAGACTAGGTGGTTGGGGTCCACGGGACAAGAGGAACCAGTGGTTGGAGACCCTAGGTGATATGGCTGAGAACCGATGTGAGTGGCGCAGATGTATACACACATTATCCTCATCTTAACAACGCTATACCGAATCTCACCATTTTGTCACTCCTCTTTCCTTTCTTCTTGTACTTTATATTTCTTTTGACTGCATTCACTTATCTTCATCCTTCACCTTACTACCTTTTTACTTGATGTGCTGATATGAGGTGTGGCAACTCGGACCGTTACGCAGTACTGCCTGGTCCTATGTTGATAATGATGTGGAAACTTGTTGAAAGTGAGTAGTCCTCAGTCCTCTCTCTTTTCTGCTCTACATCAGTCAATTACCGAGGATGCTCAAATCCCTAATCCTCTTGTTTGTAAACAGTATCTATGCCATTCGGAAAAGCGCAGACAGCTATGCACTACGAGACAACTCTGATTTTCTAATCGATTGACCGAAGTGGTGGTAACTACAATTCAAGTTTTGTTGGGTTCACATGTATTAGCAATTATTACTCGTATATGGAACTGAGGAGTGTGGAATACAATGTTACAGACAGAAATGTCAAGGACCAAGCCGGAAAACATTTTAGGTGCACTTTGACATTTTTAGTTAAATTTCGAACTTCAAACTTCGTGTTGTAGAATTAGCGGACTGCCGTTCCTTGGGTTCTACATCTGCCTTAATGGAATACATTGAGTTTGGAATGGTCACAATTATCCTCCCGGTTCTGAAAAACCTGAAAGGATAGAGATACGATTAATTACTTAATCTGGTCTCAAGTTAGTATTACTGCATCTGATCTGGGGAAAGCTTCTCGAGTATAGCCCAACGGTACGGTAGGACCCGAGGTGTGCGTCTAGCCTCCTTTTAAAGGTATCAGGGGATGGGGCTGTAACAACTTCTGAAGGGAGGGAATTCCACAGTTTACAGACTAACCGCAAATGAGTTGGCACGGATTTTTGTACGTGCTCTCTCAACTTCGGGTTTGGAACTTTTGGGTACTTATCCCAAGATTTTACTTTTAGGAAGAAAACAGTGCTCGGGAATTAAATAAACAGTTACACATCGCGTATACTGAGACAAAGAATACACATGCCAAATATTTGGCATATGCGTGGTGTATGGAAATACGTATGTATTCCCATGCACTACTTGGTACCTGTTATAACGCCTAATTTGTGTAATTTTGGGTGCACTGCAGACAATTCGGCTAATTCGGGTGAACTTACACAGATGTGGCTGATTTGGGTAAATTGCAAAACATTTGGGAAACGCCCGGACTCTGTAAATGACCTCGTATCCAATATCCAATATCTTTTTATAAGTTGTGTACACCAATCGATTTCTTCGCTCTCGCTTTGAGGTCCTGAGGAACGGTTCCAGGTCTTTGGTGGAATCCGATGCAGTAGGTCTACCCACTAGACTGCTGTAGCTCTGGTTAGCTCGACGGGCTGTTGGATGTTGGTTAAATTTGTAGGGAGTATTTTTTGTTGTTTTTCCAAGGACTGTGGTGCAGATGGGTTCCTCAAGTGTCGTACCAGCAGACAATCGGTCGAACTGGTTATAAAAAGGAGATGGAAAATGTGTCCAGAGAAACCAAGGGAGAGAAAGTGCGAAGAAAAACAAACATTAGGAAAAAACGATTAGGAAAAAGGGAAGGTTATGGAAGAAGAAACATCGGTGATTCATGGGAGAGGGGTGATGGGGAAATTTTTTGTTAAAGTTTGAGAACATAAAGTGAGTAGGAAGAGAAGGAGAAAATAACATCATAGGACGGCTTATGGGGATAGAGATAGTAATTCTATTGGTAAGAGACGGTAACTGGGCTGCCGTCTATAGGGAAGTATGAGTTTGAGCCACGTTCGCAGTGACAGTGGTGTTGCAACGTATTCGATAATGGGTTTGTCGTGCTGGGTTAGAAGGTTGTGTCAGCCTAGTCCATATCCCAGCTGCATGAGCTCAAGCCGTGCGTCTCTGTGTAACTGTCCAACCTCTGCTTGAAGCTGACAACAGACAGAGCAGTAGCAATCTCAGCAGGCAATGCCTTCCAGTCCCGCAAACTAGCGGAGGGAAGAAGTGTGAACGCACACGAACTTTTGCCCTTTGGTGGGCGATTCTCCTTGGGTTACCGCGAGGATCGCCGCCGTGGCCGTTCTATAGGATTCCACTATTCGGACGACTTGGGTTACTTGGCATTTTGTTAGCCGTTATCAAGTCACTTCGTAATCTGCAGTGGCTTAGAGAGTAGAGTCCCAGATCTTTCAGCCAGTCCTGATGTGGCTTTCGCCGCATTCCCACGACACCCTTTGTAGCTCTCCTTTGGACTTTCTGTAGGAGGTTCACGTTTATTCACAGATTCGGTCGTGCGATGACGTTGCAGACCTCTAAGCGAGGTCTTGTGCACCTTGAAAAGCAGTCCCGGGGTCAGGGCACCTAGTTGTCTGCCAAGAAGTGCAGTACTGCGTAGGCTCTGGAGATGTCTCCCGCATAATTGGAGCTGGTGTCTAGCTTGCCAGTCAGTGCTAGTCCTGGATCTTTCTTCGTGGCAGTGTGGGAAAATTGTGTTTCACAGAGAGGATAGGGTACCTTCTGGGAGTCAGGGGTGCGGAGAAACATGACTCGGCACTTATCCAGATTAAATGCTGGTCTATTAATGTCCACCCACTCCGCAATTAATCTGAGACCACTTTGCAGTGCTCATGATTCTGTTTCAGATGTCATGGATCTTCATAACTCAACATCACCAGCGTAGGGCAGAACTGGGGCTGAGATTCGGTGGGCGGTCGTTCACAAGAAGAAGGAACACCGGCGGACCCAAAATCGCCCCATGTGATACGCCAGATGATCATGTCCCCCAAGCCGAGCAAACTTTGTAGGCTTTTGTGCAGAACTGTCTGCCATCTAAATAGTCCTGTAGCCAGAAGACCGCTTGACCCTTAATGCCCAACCTTGATATCTTGTGAATGAGGATCGCATGCGGGACCGTTTCAAAGGCTTTAGCTAAATCCAAGAAAACGACATGAACAGGAATTTGGGGGGCCCAGCATGCCGTGCACTTATCACCGGCCACCAGAATGATCGACAAGCAGGATCTGCTCTTTCTGAAACCATGTCGAGAATCACTTAGTGGTCCCCCCCTTTTCCAAGTACCCTCTGACATGCTCATCTACTAGGTTCTCTGCCACTTTTGACACCACTGGTAGAAGGGCTGTGGGTCGATAGCATTCTAGGCTCTGCTTGTCTCCTCCTTTGAAGATGGGGAGCAGAATAGCACGTTCCCACTCTCTTGGAAGCAAGGGATTGTCTGAGGAGTTTTGAAACAGATTATGCAGCGAGCTGCACAAGACACCCGTGCATTTTTTCAACACAACCGGCCGGATGTCATTGCGTCCTGGTGATTTTTCTGCGCGGAACCTTCATAGCTTTTGGAGGACTATAGCAGGAGCTACTTTTATTCCACGCAACTCTACTGCATATGGTGGTGCTGAATGCTGCCTGAGCAGTTGGCAATTCTGGTTAGATGAAGACGTGTTCAGCTGCGTGCCGGAGGAGGCGCTAAGGGCTTGGGTGACCTCTAGTCCGGAGAGGTTCCCTCCGTTCAGGCCTTTCAGGATGCAAGCCCCTTGGCTGATGAATATTCTGCCTGCAGTAAATCGACTTGGGTTTTCGGGGTTCGCCTGTGGCTTCTGAGCAAGGTTTGTCTGGATCGACCTCCTTTCTCCCCCTTGATGTTGCATCGGTTTCTCGGGGCCATATACGCGGCGTGGTCAGACTCTTTTCTGGAGGTCCTCCATTTATGCCGTGCTTTTCTCTTGGCTTTCAAAAGGCGTTCGGCGCCTCGCTTCAGCCGTGAGGTTCGCTTCCTCGGTATTGCTGTGATTACCAGGATGTTTTCAGCGATAGCCCTCCCTAATTGTTGTCATATAACCACCTTATAGATACACATGTTATTTTCGCATGACCGTTTGTTTTTACTCAGACATAATATGTGAACCCCAAATAAGTTGTGATTGCGACGATCAAGCGGGGGGTAACTGCAGTCTTGCTGCGTGCCATGTTAACACGGCGGCACGTACCGACCACCGGCGACGAAAGAAAAAAGTGCATCGAAGGCAAAAAATGACAGTTTGTAGTATATCATTGATACATGGTAAGTCTCAACATTTTACCAGTATTTACCCTTCAGCACTAAGTGAAGCACGACTGACTAAAATAGAGAGTAAGCACCAATGTATGCTGAAGTGATTACTTTCAGGAATAATTGAAGAAAACAGATAAAATAGAGGGTATGTCGTTAGCTCTGGTAACCACTTTGCTTTTTAGGAAGTTTTAATAAGCTGGAGGGCACTGTCAACATACTTGCTGAGGCAGTAAATGTCCAGAGGGATCCAGGAGTCACCCATGCCCCAGAGGACTTCCCCCTAACTTCTCTCATTACTGGATGCAGGCGCGCACGCTCGTGAATCTCCGTGAGCTGAAAGCACCCGAGTATTTTCTTCACCTGAGAATATGGATAACGCTGAACAAGGTTTAATCAGCAATCATGAGACGGAAGACGTACATGTACAAAGAATTCTACATCATCATAACAAATCTGTTCATCCATACTGCTGCCCTCTTTTACCATCTGTCATCTTAACAACAAAACAGGTACATATTTTGCATGAACACAGTCTGCACGCAGGCCCACGCTTGTCTGTCTAACAAATGTTGAAGCCGGACTTTGGGGCATTTGTGTTTTTCGGGGAGTGTTTGGGTGCACTATGGAACTTTTAGGCTTTTCGGGGAAAATGTTTGGATGCACTTTGGGACTTTTGGAATTTTCGGGATAAAACTTTGGGGGCAGTTTGACAAAACTGACATTCTTGGGAAAAATTTTGAACAATTCTGGGAGCGACGATGCCTTGTCGGCAGTAATCCTCTAATTTTTAGCGTCAATTTTTCGAAAATCTCAAAGTGCGCCCAAAGCGTTTGCTGGCTAGGGATATGATGCTGAGTTGTGGCACCCCACATCTGATATCTTTTTAACGGCTAATCTCCACCACTTAATCACTTCTAGGTTTTGCGGACTAGTTCAATGTCTTTGGCTGACTGCGACCCAGTGGGTCTACCGTCTCACCTTCTTCAACTGGCATACTTGACTGCCTTCGAGCACCAGGCTTGTGGGGTTGTATGATTAGTCCAGAAACTGTGGTGCGAGTGCATTCGTAAAACCTCATGTCATCAGAAAGCAGTTTAGACTTGTAAAAATAGGAAGAACGGAGAGATTTCCAGCTAAAACGAGGTGGAAGGTTCATGAAAAAAAGTTGAAGAGAAGCAGAAAGAGGGAAATGGAGAAACCTAGGTAGTTAGACTAGAAAGGAAACCGCGAGATGAAGAACCTTAAAATTTGGGGTGAATTCGTAGAATCGGAGGGAGATAAAGAAGCAGAGATAATGGGAGTGGAAAAGTTGGTGTTATTAGTGATGTTATGGTAACTGGAGCTGAGACACCTAACAGGGAAATATAAGGATAGGCCAAGTCCGCGAGAATATTAGTAGTACAGCAGGGTCAGTATGAGGTTGGCACGTTTTCATCCTCTCATGAGCCGTTCTCTACGCCTTTCCACGGGATAGCCACGGTGATCATCCGATGTTCAGGTGACTTGTATTACTTAGTATCTTGTAAGATGCCATTAAGCCACTATTCAGGCTTTGATAACCCAGGGAAGGAGGGCATGGATCCTTCGGTCTATCCGCATAGATTTTTCGCTACATTCCCGTGAAACCCTTAGTTGCTCGACCCTGAACTTTCTTTGGTAAGTTCACATCTCTAATCGGGTATAGTGGTGCAATGAGGTTGTGCACCTTTGAACGAGGCCGCATAGTGGCGTGGAAGGGATTCAGACAGAGTTCTGGCTGACGGCCCCCAGCCGTCTGAGCATGAAGTGTAGAGCTGCATATCCCCCGTAGACATTTCCCGGATCACTGGGACTGATGTGTGGCGTCTCAGCCAGTAGTTTGCCCAGGCCTCTGTGGTCGTCCAAGAAAGGTGTATACCACGAAAGGACTGGGATGCATTTTGAGGGTCAAGAGTACACAGAAACGTGGTCTGAGATCTGTCTAGGCTAAATAATAGTCTCTTGCCATCCCCTCACTCTTCAGGCAATCTTAGGTCATAGTGTAAAATAGGCAAATAATTGTTTTATTCTCGCATTGGTAGCTCAATATGAGAGAAGCCAGTTTGCAGGCATCTTCACATTGATATATGTCAAAAAGTCTACAAGATTTTACATGCCCTGAATGGTGCAGACAGAATGTCACTAAACTCTATTAAAAACAGCAGAAGATTCTGCTAGTTATGAAACGAACAAGGAAACATCACTTTTCAGGGCATGCAGTGTTAAAGTCAAGATAATAATGAAAATTCTCCTCATAAAATGAATTTGACGTGACGGATACCAGTTTACAAGGATCGTCAAACTGATAGTCCGTGAAACCTCGCAGAATAGTATTTCCCATCATGCATTCTACATACCAAGTTGTTGACGT